TCCTTTCCGGTTCCGACCCCATCCACTATGATGTCCAGCTCCGGCAGCGACTCCGGTTCCGAGCTCAACTACGAGGAGGAGATGGACCTCCACTTTGCGTTGGAGCGGTCCAAGGTGGAGACCGATGGCAGCTCTGGATTTGGAGCGTCGCGGCAGCTCCCGCGCCGGCACAGCACATACGCCGGATATGGACCCTCCCGGCCCGCGTGTAGCGATGCCAGGACAACGCAGTCCGCACCGCCTCGCGCCGTCTCCTTCCTCCGTCGGCCGCTCCTCCACGGGGGCAGTGGTGGGTGCTAGTGCCCGCGCCGCCGGCCCAGAACCGAAGGCGCGCGCCGCGCGCCGCGAGAGGCAGCGTGCACGGGAGAGGAACACGACGGAGCAGTCACCGCCGCGGTGGGACGGAGGTGGACCCCGACGAGGACGCGCGTCTCCTCGCATGAGTCTACTGCGTCCCTCACGACGGCGGAGACGGACGCTCGCCGCCTTCCACGAAAGAATGCCAAGGCGCTCCGGCTTGCTATTGGGCAGTTGGAGCGCGAGGCGAAGGGGCAACGACGTAGAAGGTTCGGTTTGCTAGGTTGAAGTGTGAGCAGAACAGGGCGGTCTATCGGATGAAGGGGCTCGTCATCGTCTCCGACCCCGACTCTGATAACGGCAAAAGCTATACCTCCTCGTCGGCGACCAAGACCCTCCACCAACTGCGGACGCCTAGAGCTGCGTCGGTGACCGGAAGCGCAAAGGCCCGACGAGGAAGTGGCGATTCCGCCCAATGTTTATATCATTTTTAGTTGTAGAAGTTTTAAGAACTTGTCCGGTAACGAACAATGATCTTTCGGATGTGGCAAAGTTTGCTAATGTTGGTTTGCAGCCGATCTTGTGTTCCTTTGCAGTCGATTTTTGCTGTCCGTCGTCTGATCATGTAGAGTAGATGAACGTTGTGTGTAGCATGGATATAAGGCACCGGATATGAGATATGCGGATATAGAGTGGATATAGAGTGGCAAATATGATATGTGTGAGGTTAGCGCTCGTTGACGCGTCCGAGCAGGTCCGTGTGTGTTTGAGAGGCTGGATTGCCCATCGGCTGTAGATGTTCTTAGCTTGTATACCTATAGGTAGAAGTACTACTGTTGTTTTGGTAGGCAATAAATGTTTTTGCGGCTCCATTCACGTATGACTAATTTTCAAAACCTAGAGAGCTAGCCAGATGGTGGCTGTATACTACTCTACGCAGCAGCAGCAGCATCAACAGCTGCATCTTGACCAGCGAGGCCACTCCCAAAAGAGAGAGGAAAAGACTAGCTAGCTGACTAGACATGCGGGCGCGTACTGTGCGAGATGGATGTGACCATACACGCCATCTTTTCGTGCCCCCGAGAGCTGGAAAGCGGAAAGGGTCGACCCACGCAACGTCTCTACATGCAATAGCACAGCCACAGCCACAGCGCATAGCTCTGCTGCACTTTTGCCGTAGGTAGATGTAGTGCGTGCAGTAGTATAGCCTGGAGCCCTGGGTCTGGGTGTGAGTCTGGACCGTCCAATCGTCCTACCACTCTTATGTCGATCGGCCTCTTCTGGCCACGCACCTGCGTCCATCGGCCGATCCATCACGTTTCCGTTGGGGTTTGCGGTGGAGGAGTACCACCTACGTACTACGTGCATGCATGTACACGTCCCGTCATGCATGTGGGCGCGCGCGCGGGTCAGTAATTGATTTCTACTCCGCGTCTTCCTCGTTTTACATGCCATGCCTGGTTGCACTGCATCTGACAGGTCAAAATGTGCTCATTGGATCGGCCATTTTGTCCTTTTTTTTATTGTCCAGAAGCTTGCTGTAAGAAATGTGCTCTTGTAGTTAATTTTGCTGTACTGGTATTATGATAACACTGCTAGATTTGCACTGTGCTCTCTGTATGAATCGAACACCAGTCTTACAAGAAAATCTCTAAAAGAAAAGAGAAGTGCAATTCAGCCCCTGGGGACTCCTATATCCTCTTCATACCGCACATGTCGATGGTGCGCTGATGTTGCCGCTGTTAGAGTTCCGCACCATCATCTTGTTGGACAAGGAAGTAGCATACATGGTAGTGATCGATCTCCGCACGATGTACCGGTGGTGTCGATCCCCAAGGATCCACAACCTAGAGAAGAGGACGGTGTTGGGTCAATTGTTCCTAGATGTCCGCCTAAGTCGCAGAATAACCAACCGCTGTTTCTGCTACCGAAGCACCACTAGCCCAACGAAGACACAACCAACTCCTTTGGAACACCCTCTTTGCACAAAAAAAAAACTGTTTATTACAAAGAAACACCCTACTGGATCTGCTATTGGTCTTGTCCCTCTAGAAAACAGTTAATGGTAGTAATTATTTTTCACTCATAAAAAGAAAAGGACCATACTCCTTCCAGTTTCCTCTCAAAAGGAAAAGAGAAGTGCCACATTCAAATTTCATTTCCACTTGATCATACGGAAAAAGAGAAGGGCCACATTCGAATTTAATTTCCAGCGAGAGCTCTCCAGGCTCGTGGAGCCAATAGTTGCATATATGAGACATCTGGAATATACTTCTAGGGTTGTTTGGAACTTTGGATGGAGACGGATTTGGTTGGGCAGAGGTCCTCAAGAACCATGCTCACATCCAACAGCTTGCCCGTTGCTCATGCCCGTAACAGACTAGATATCCATGGATATTCATAGAGCAAATACAAACAGTATTTGCAATAATTATTTATACAATTGCAACAACAAAAATAAATCCCTAAATAAAATATAATACATAATATTTATTTAGTCTTGCATTGCACACAAAGTAGTGTTTAATTTTCAAAGGGTTTAGGATCACTTACATGTGGATCCCACATTTTAGCCCGGTACTTATGGAGCAAAATCCATGCCCATTGCCGAGTATCATGGGAAGGTTACTCGGCAAATGTCGGGACACGTGGCAGCATTCAGGGAGCATTGTTTGCCGAGTCATAATAGTTGGCAAAGTCCTATGTCGAGAACCAGGGACACTATACTAGGCATATACTTATACCACATGGCGACTCGTCGTGCCGGCCCGTGTTTGCAAAGCACTGGAGGTAGACACTCGGCAAACCAAGGTGCCATGTGGCATCGCCGTTTCCATCGGTTGGCCGTCTGACCTTTATATTCCCGAGCACCCTCGTATGACACTCGGCAAAAGCTTTGCCGAGTACCTTGACAATCGACGCTCAGCATACTCCGTGTTGCCGACATGGTATAAGCCGAACAGTCTTTGCTGAGTGTGACACTCGCCAAAGCTGTTACCGAGTCTTTTTTGGCCATCGCCGAGTATTTCTGGTACTCGACCAACAAGGCTTTCCCTGCAGTGTGCTCAACACATGCGTTTGCTGGTGCCTGCCCACGAAAATACATGGACCAAAAATACCCTCGATACCCCTCTAGTGGTCACGGTATACCCTATAGATAAAATTGATAGCTTTAATGTGCATGGAATCACAAGCTTTTTGTTCACTTTTGATTTATGCAGATAATTCTTCCTTGTTACAGTACAATAGAGGAAAAAAAATCCCTCCCCAAATCGTGCTTGTATTGTTCATCGCACACGTTCCTATTTAGAAATAGCCAATTCACATTTACATTTAAAAAAGTTTACTATTCTTTTCAATTAGTAATTTGACTGAAATACTCCCTTTATATATATTATAATAAAAGAAATAGTTGATTCTCAGCTGACTGATAATTAGCGAAATCGTATACTTAGGACATGTACAATGGTTGATAAATTTGTCTTATCTTATGTCCGCCATGTAATCTAGATAAGGCAATAACAAATAATGTACAATGGATCATTCTTAGTCTTGTCTCCAATAACTAGATATTCCTAAATATGTGGTGACAATTGTTCCTAAGAGATGATCTCTTAATTAAGAGAATGCAAACCTTTTTTTTATGGTTTCTCTTTGTTTCACCTCGTCCATTATTCTATGTGGCACTTCTAAGATAGCATCATTGTACATGTCCTTAATCCTATTTCATCGAGACAACGGCCCCTCCTGATCAAACGATTCCCAGGAAAGTTCTAGCTGAATTCTGCAAATGCGGGCGAAACCACAAACGGAAAGAAAATTAACACGTGCCCGGCGACTGACATGCATGGAAGCGGTAGTATTCTCACCGAGAAGACTCTTTTGACTACCGTCCGAAAAAATCTGTCACAGCACTTGAGTATTATGTAGTTAATACTCACTGTCATGGGGGTTTCAGGCTTTCAGCTTGCAGTTATTGATGCAGCGACTTTATATGCACAGCACAGTGCACAGGTTATCTTTTAAGATCACTTAATTACCTTTGCAGGTTATGTCTCAGAAGGTAGCTAGATTTAAAGGCAGATGCTTTTCTCTGAGACAAGAGGGTACTAGTACAGTCAATTGACCAAGCTAATGCACCTACTTAAACAAATTAAAATAGTACTCCCTGTATAAAGACATATAAGAGCGTTTAAATCAAAATCTAAAATGTGTAGTATGTAGCCAAAGTAGGAAAAATGTGTTGTGTGCTTCCACACTCAGCTTGGGAGACAGAAAAGAGAAAGGGGCTCCAACCTATCAGATTAAAACACCCCAGCCCCTCCCCCATCCCACAAAAATTTCCTATCAATCAACTAAAATCATATATGATGGGCATCTCCTCCATTATTAATTTCCATCCTACAACAAGAGACATGGGGGCCCTTTCTCAACACTGCCCACACTGCCATCTTCCCCATTAATAGAGATGCAGTGATGATTTGGTCTTATCATGCATCTCTCTCCCACTTCCTCTCTCTCTCTCTCTTTCTCTCTCTCTCTCTCTCTACCATTATACCCCTCCCCAACTTTTATATAAACCGGCAGGAGGGACATCAAGGAGCCAAAAACTTGCTGTTGGCTCTTCTCTGAACCCCTCCTCCTTGCCAAGAAAACCTCATCTCCAACACAAGGGTAGCTAGCTAGCTTGTGGCTGTTGGGCAATGGCAGGATTCTCACACCTCCCGCAGCAGATGGAGTATGGCCTCACCAATGCCGGCAGCTTCTTGCTCTGCCATGGCAACCCTGAGGACGCTCCAGCAGCAGCAGCAGCCTCACGGGAGGGCTCATCTGTGGTTCTTGACACCCCTCTTGTGGCCACTGCTTCTGTGGAGAAGAAGAGGAAGCCCAAGGAGGACACTACCAGCCTCAACTCTGCCCACTCCAAGGTACCATATGTATAGCAGATTTATTGAACCTTCTATGTTTGTTCTGAAACACATTCATTTAGCAGTACACATGTTGCTTATGGATAGTATTGTTTGTGACTGAAAAATAATTTAGGAAACCAAGGAGAGTACTAGGAAGAGGGGAGGCAAAAAGCAGGGCAAGGAGATGGATGATGATGAGGAGGAACCAAAGGGGTACATCCATGTGAGGGCAAGGAGAGGGCAGGCAACAGATAGCCACAGCCTTTCAGAGAGGGTACTACTGGTGTTCTTCACTATATTTTCTCTTGTGTGGTTGTAGCTATCTTAGCTTGGTTTTTGGGGCCTATTTTTGTTACTCATATGCTGTGGCATTTTGTTTTCTTGCTTCAGGTGAGGAGGGAGAGGATCAGTGAGAGGATGAGGATGCTGCAGTCCCTGGTCCCTGGCTGTGACAAGGTTGTAAGTTAGTTGACCACTCCTAATTAGAATCACCACTGCACTTGAAATAACTTGTTGTGCGTGGGGTACTAACTTTAGAAGGAAAAATGTGCACTGCTTTGTGTATAGGTCACTGGTAAGGCTCTCATTTTGGATGAGATCATCAACTATGTGCAGTCACTGCAAAACCAAGTTGAGGTACTGAAGTTAGAAAAAAACTATCAATATTTATATAGGGAAAGCACTTAAGCCTTGGAGATGTCTTTAGTTAATTAACAAGTTCTCATTTGCCATTCAGTTCCTGTCCATGAGGATTGCTTCCCTGAGCCCTGTGGTGTATGGTTTTGGCATGGAGAGTGAGGCTGCCTTCAGTGACCAATCACAAGTATGAGTTAATCAATATGCAAGCTCAAATATATATATGATCATTGTGATAGACCATATATTTTTCTCAACCTTTCTTATTAAAAAACTTGCACATTTTGGAAATAACTTTGTTGTTTCAGAAGATTGAAGGCATGTTCCATGACGCAGCTGCATTACCTACTGGTCCTCCCATGAACAGATCATCTAGCCCAGCTCCATATCAGGCCATGATGGACACCGGCACCTCCTCCTCCTCCCCAACCTACTCACTTCAAGGCACCCAGGTTTGGCCACTTTCTCTCTCTAGAGATCTACATGATCGATCATTCAGGACCCAATTCCAAAGCACTGTTCAATGTACATGCCTGCCGTGCTGAATGAGGCTGCCCATGTGTGCATGATTTTCCAGGACAACGGCAGCAGCAGCAGCAGCTACATGATGCAAACAGTAGGTGAGCCGAGGCACGAACTGTTCAATCAAGTGGTGTTCAGTAACTACATGTGCTCCTTCCAGCAGTGAAAGGAAGGACCCTACATTTGACAACGTCTAGGTAAAGTGACATGATTATGCACTTAAGTTTCAGTAAAAGTAGGCATCATACCACTGTGAAATCAAAATTAACCACTAGCACCATGTGGAATGCATACAATAAAAAAATTACAGTAATTTTTAGTACAGTACTTGATGCTCTCTCTTTTTTGGATTTGTGATTAGCAGGGGAGGAAATAATGCTGGCCAGAGTGGTGACTGAACTGAAGCACCAGATGAGTTTGAGATGTTGGATGATCTAGTGATCCATCCCCTTATCTGGTGGCATGCATGCAGCAGTAGAGATCAGTGAAGTACTAGCAACTAGAGTTATTAATTGATTAGCAGTAGAACCAGAGAGGCTTGTGTTGTACTAGTAGCTAGCATCTTTCCAAGTGATGCCTTGCCATCGCCCGTTGTACTCTACTAGCTTAGACAAAAGATGTTTATGATTGGATCATTTGTTTATATAAAAGAGGGCCATTTCTGCTGTGACAAACGACAATTGACTCTTGGACAAAAACAGTCTCAGTTCATTTCACTTCTGAACATACAGTTTGATCATTTCAGCTCTAATATTTACACCCTTCGGTCCTTTTTACTTCACATATTAGGTTTGTCCGAAGTCAATTTCATCCAACTTTGACCAAATATATATAAAAAATTACAGACATTCACATAACACCACCAATATCATTAGATTCATCTTGGAATATATTTTCATATTATATTTATTAGATGTTATAGATGCTAATAATTTCTAATATAAATTTGGTCAAACTTAGCAAAGTTTGACTTTCGGCAAATCCAATGTGCAGAGTAAAAAGGACCGGAAGGAGTACATGCACCTAGCTACTTGTAAAATTCTAGTATAGTATGTATACTAGTATCATTTTACACGGAAATACCCAGTGGATCTCGGGTCCCAATGGACCTGGATTGGAAATTTCTTTTTAGAAAATTCAAAGAGTCGAAAATTCCTGCAACCTTTTGGAATCAAACATGATCTGGTATTACACTCGTGGAAAAAGTTCTGCTCGATCGGGCTCCATTGCCAAAATAAAAAAAATAAAATATTGTGAGTACAAAAAGTGTGTTTTTTATAAGGAAAATATATTAATATCGTGAAGATATCAATTACACCTTGTTTCTGCACCAACAAGATGTCGAAAGACATAAAAGATGCACATAGGCAAGAAAAAAAATAAAAAAGAGAGAAAGAGAAAACAAAGACCTCGTCGTGGTGATGAAACTCGCAACAAGAGCACTCTAACCACCACCGAAGACAACACCCAAACCACAAAAGGGATTCCTCAAAAGCAACGCTTCCAAGAAGAAAAAAATGCACAAGCGTTGTCGTCACCCGATCGATGCAAAAGCGTGAATGTTAACTTTCATATAGTGTTGATTTTGTTTTTTTCGCCCAGAACACCATGAAAGTCATTCATTCGCGAAACTTTTCACACAAGTGTAACACGTGATCATGTTCGATTCCAAAAAAATTCAGAATTTTTGTAAGTCCTTTTGAATTTACTAAATTTATTTTCAATTCAGGTGCATTGGAACCCGAGACCCAAAGATTCAGGTCGCGTTTTACACTGGTAATTGAGGCGGGAGTAAATGTAGCTGTGGCATTAGGTAGAGGTCCCTCCCTGCATGGGTATTCAATTAGTAGCAGGCTAGCTCTCGTTCTTCTTCAGATTGATTGGAGATGGACCTGTACGTAGGAGTACGTACGTACATGCCGAACAGTTTTGTGTGAACCCTAAATGCAACAGCATAGTGGTAGTACACAGTTAGACACCGCCTCTTCCGACCCACCAACATTATTGGCTATAGTGGCCCCTCTAATCACGATTTGTTGTGTTTGACGAAAGAGAAACCGGACACATCGCACGATCTGTCATGTCGGCCATTGCATCACAGCTTCACGTCACGTAACTTTCATATGAGCTGGCGGAAAATATATAGCGAGCATACATAACAAGGTGACTTGAATTCTGGTGGGCTGGAGATACCACTGTTCTTCTAACCATTCAACCACAGATTGGTTTACACATAAGTATTTACTAGTATATACTTCTTCCGTTCCAAATTACTCGTCGCAGAGATTGATGTATCTAGAACTAAAATACATCTAGATACATCTATACCTGTGACAAATAATTTGGAACGGAGGGAGTATAAATAAGCGCTAGTTCTTCGGATTCACGTGAAATGTGTCATATGAATTTGTAGTTTGTGAAATATGACTTGCAGTGCACTGATTTTGTATTTGTTTGAGATACACATGAGTTCTGAGATGAACATGAATGCTACTTTGAGATATGCATTGGTGGCCAGTGCAACTGTGTACTGCTGTGCGACTTCTGTGCATGGGCACACTGAGATAGTACTATTCAACAATACCCTCTAGAAACATTACTGTCAATAGGTAAACAATAAAAATCGTCCGCGGTAAACACAATCGTAGACGGGCATTTGAGCAAACCCGTACAAACAAACATAACATACGGTCTTTCACAGTTTGCTTGTCAAATATATAAAAATCTCGTTGACGGGCCTTTGCACGCCAATAATGAACATCGTGTCCGGTGTAGTAAAACCTGTTGCGGCGGGGGTTTTGCTCATCAGAGTTGGACCAGTCCACAACAGTGAAATATATTAACCTATTAGATATTAGAAATTAGGTTGTTCATAGTGGGGAATATCATAGTATCGTACATGTTACTAACTTCATAGTACATAGTGTTATAGATTAGTGTTTTAAATGATTTCATTTATTGTTTCGTATGACACATATAGTGATACATATTGTGATACAATATCATAATATGATACTAGCATCTTCTATTTCTCAATTAGTACTATACTGTTTTTGCAATATGCATATTTGGCTTTGCATGGTAATTCATGATAGTACTGGATCATGATATCCACTATTGTCTGTGGGAGATCTTAAGTAGAAAGTAGTGCACAAGAGAGCATTAACGGACACAGTAGATTCTAAGTTACACACTTCCCCTCACTCTAGAACATTCTCTTTATGTGTTCTAAGTGATCTGTACTGCATTCTAGACACAGGAGCACATATATAAGTTGGTGAGTTTGTAATTGTCCCGAAAGAGGTATCATATTGCATACTATATTTTTTTAAATGATGTACGTAAAAAGGTAAAACATATGTCACAAATTGATGTTGACTTCATAGATGAAGATGTTTGCGTAGAAATTAACTAGTTCCCGAGGAAAGATGACTTACCATTAAAATAAACATCAGTCAATTAGTAGTTAGGAAGAGGTGGTATGACTCCTCCATATGTGCTCCTTTTGTCCCTCGAGATTATGTTTCGCAAAATTTACCACATGATAACATGAGCAAGATTATGTTTTATTCTCGTAGGCACAAATAGATAGGTCCTCTAAATAATAAAATCTATAGAAAATACCATTAATTACAAAAAAGAATACACATGTTTTTGAGGCACCATCATACTATTGCTGCAAGAAACATGTATATTTAAAACAAAACATGTTAAATGAAGCTACTTTTGTGATCCTGATCAGAGCCATATGGTTAAAGGAAATGATAGGGTGACATTAGTGTGAAATAAACTATGTTGTATGGCTCGGATCAAATGATTCGAATATAATGATGGCAGGTTGGCATCGACCTGATAGATAACCAAATAAAGGGTAGAGAGATGTTGTGTTTTATGCTACTGTTTACACAAAGACTTGACACTTGTCTTTTTTATTTTGTTGGGTAAAATGATGTATGAATCATCTACGGATATTTTCAAGTAGGTGTTGAGACTTTAGATATTTACTTTGATACACTTGTCTTGCTTGTATTTGTTGATATTCTTGTGAATTGTTAGTTCTTCACAAATGGCATGCCACCCCCCTCCCCCCCAAAAAAAGTAAGTCATGAGCTTCACGAGCTTGGACTTAGTTGTTTCACTTGTGAGTGGAGCCACAATCCTCGAAGCTTTGTTTCAACCACTATGGGCCAGTGGTGAGTTCTAATAGTTGGCTCTTATTGTTGTTGTTGCGGTTCATATACTAGAGGATAACGAGGTCGAGGTCCCAACGGTCGTGACCAGAGCTTTGGGTCTTGATGTCATTGGTTTGATATAGGGGTCTCGATGTTGCTGGTTTGATCTAGGAGTCTCGAGTCATTGGCTTGATCTAGGGGGTGAAGGAAATATGCCCTAGAGGCAATAATAAAGTTGTTATTTCATATTTCCTTATATCATGATTAATTTTTGTTATTCATGCTAGAATTGTATTAACCGGAAACTTGATACATGTGTGGATACATAGACAAAACACCGTGTCCCTAGTAAGCCCATACTCGACTAGCTCGTTAATCAAATATGGTTAAGTTTCCTAACCATTGACATGTGTTGTCATTTGATGAATGGGGTCACATCATTAGGAGAATAATGTGATGGACAAGACCCATCCGTTAGCTTAGCATATTGATCGTTCAGTTTTATTGCTACTGCTTTCTTCATGTCATATACATATTCCTTTGACTATGAGATTATGCAACTCCTGAATACCAGAGGAATACCTTGTGTGTTATCAAACATCACAACGTAACTGGGTGATTATAAATATGCTCTACAGGTATCTCCGAAGGTGTTTGTTGGGTTGGCATAGATCGAGATTAGGATTTGTCACTCCGAGTATCAGAGAGGTATCTCTGGGTCCTCTCGGTAATACACATCATAAGAAGCCTGATGTCTACTACACAACCTTCTTCTTGTAGACGTTGTTGGGCCTCCAAGTGCAGAGGTTTGTAGGACAATAGCAAATTTCCCTCAAGTGGATGACCTAAGGTTTATCAATCCGTAGGAGGCGTAGGATGAAGATGGTATCTCTCAAGCAACCCTGCAACCAAATAACAAAGAGTCTCTTGTGTCCCCAACACATCCAATACAATGGTAAATTGTATAGGTGCACCAGTTCAGCGAAGAGATGGT